AAGGGCCCCGAGAGCAAGCTGAAAGTTTATCGTGACTGGGGTCAGCAGTACGGTGCGCGGATCGGGTGATTTGGTAGCTTGAACAACGCGACTGACTTAACCATCCTGCAGGCTCCGACGTCGTCCACCTTAACATGGCAGGCATGAATCTCGTCGTGCTAAACAGCCTCCAGTCGTGCACAGATCTGCTGGATAAGCGATCGAGCATCTATTCCGACAGGTATACTTCGCGTTCCTTTTATAATGTCTTTTCCGCCACTTACGGTCACACTGGCGGCAGACCCACGTCGGGCATCACGATGGTCTCCGAGCTGTAGGTGCCCATACAGTCGCGATTCGCTCTAGTTTCGAGTTCATCATAATAAAACACAGGTGTGATCTTGGCTGGAGCTTCGGACTGCAGCGCTACGGTCCTGAATGGCGCGATGGTCGCAAGGCGTTCCAGTCCCAGTTCCACGCGAACACCGTGCAAAAGTACCGCCCCGCTCTCTCGCGCGAGATATATCGCTTCCTGCGTCGTCTTTGCACAGAACCTGCGGGATGGGAGCACCACCTCCATCTGTGCGTACGCCCCTTACTCAGCCCAAAACGTCGAGTCTGACGCACCGATGTAGGATAGCAGGGGGTCTAATAATGTCTGCCGCATATGCGATCGACGTCCAGGAGAAGAATGACCCGTACTTGACAACCCAAGAGCACGCTGCCGAGTGTGTGAAGAAGAGTTTGGTTCCCGGCGCCTACCTCGTTGGTATCTTTCCGTTCTGTAAGTTCTTCCTGCTACTCTCAAGCCTCCCGCAAGATGTTAACCTAGCTCCAGTTAAGTACGTACCAGAGTGGTTTCCAGGCGCAAGATTCCAGCACGAAGCAAGGATGTGGCGCAAGTCTGTAATGCACGTTTTGCATGCACCCTACAACATCGTAAAGGAGCGCATGGTGAGTCTCATATGTCCTTCTCCTACCTGAACGGTAAAGGCAAATTATATCAGGTAAAAGACCCGGTGGCGACGCCTGACTGCATTACCAAGTCCTTGATAGAGAATATGGTCGATACAGCGAAAGACCCTGCCTACATGGAGCGAGTCGCCAAGTCAGCCGTGGGATCGGTGTATCTCGGTATGCCGTTTCCTTCATCTATGTTTCCACTGGTCTCAGATAGCTCGATTCAGCTGGCGCCGACACAGTTTGTTCTTCCTCACGCTGCTGTACTCAACTACTGACGCTCGCCCCTGTAGACGCTCTCAATCATAACATCCTACTTCCTTGCCATGGTGCTCTATCCTGATGTCCAACGTCGTGCACAAGAATACATCGATGAGGTCTGCCAAGGTCGGCTCCCAGACTACTCGGACTACGATGCTCTGCCATACGTACACGCACTCGTACGTGAAAGCCTGCGGTGGAATCCAGTAGTTTCCTTGAGTGTGTACTCGCCTGCTCTCCATGAAATGCAACTCACGAAGGAGTCGAAGATCTTCCGCACAGGTGCACCACTGACGACATCTACGAAGAATACCTTATCCCGGAAGGTTCCATCGTCGTTGCGAATATCCAGTGCGTAACCCCCTCCAGAATCAGGTGCCACTCTTTCTCAGAGAGCTCTCAGCGCGATTTTGCACGACCCCACGGCATACCCTGACCCCTCGACCTTCAACCCGGAGCGCTTGCTGTGCCGCACCCCCGATGGCGAGCTCGCGCTAGACCCCAATGTGCCAGATCTATTGCACGCCGCCTTCGGCTTCGGGCGCCGCATCTGCCCTGGGAGATTCATGGCGTACCAGTCCATATGGCTCACTCTTGCGAGCTTCCTCTGCGCATTCCGTATCGAGCGCGCAAAGGACGAGCGCGGGGTGCCCATTGACCCGGGCGGGGAGTACGACTGGGGCTTCACAAAGTGAGCCGTTGTCTTTTGGTGAGAATGCGGGAGGAGAAGCTGACTCTGCGCGCTGTCTAGCTGCCCGAAGCCGTTCCAGTGCATGATACGCTCGCGCACGGAGGAATACG